GCTAAAAGCAAGACAGACAGATTTTTAAAAAGGCAGGTGCTAAGAGACAAGAGTCTTTCGGCCCTCTGCCAGGCACCTCTGCAAAATTGAAAAGCGATGAATGTATTTGCCTGCCTGATTCTCAGAGCTGGGCTTGCCGAAGAGGGGAAGTGATTAGCAAAAGAACCGTCATGAAGGCAATTCAGTCTGTAATCGGTAACCGAGGAGGAGGAAAGAGACTAGATGATTTCCTGGTTCCTGGGCAGGCGATCACTTCGCCCTGGGGTTCTGCCCGGCCGTCCTTTCCCTGAAGCTGGGTCAGGCACGTCTCCCCAGCATCTGCCATACAAGCCTGCCACATTCTTTGCTTGTTCTGTGGGGACGAGAGAGGCTGTGGAACAGCTGCCACTGAAGCCTCTGAGTGAGGTTCCCACATCTCTGTGATTTTCCCCTGAGGTCACTCAGAATTCAAAACACAAAACCAAACCCAACCATCATCCTAGAAAAAACCATCCTTGAAAAAGATGTCCTTAAATCAAAGCACAAACTGGTCTCCAGGAAGCAGAGAACAGGGCTGAGAAAGTGAAAATAAAATCACAGGGCATCTGCTGGTTCCACAGCTGACCACTCCCACGGCGTGGCCTCATGGCGCAGTGGCTAAACTGCAGTCCTGCAGTCAAAGCTCTGTTCACAACCCGGGTTCAGTCCCAGGCATGCAGCTTTGCGGGGGCTCCTGGATTGGTTTCTGAGCCTGGATGCCCAGATTTCGGTGGTGGCCTGGAGCGCCTTTGCACCATTGAAACTGTGCCTGTTCATGGAGAGGTCTGATCTGCCCACAGTGACACATGCCTTCGTGACATCCCGGCTGGAGGACTGGAATACTCTCTATGTAGGGCTACCTATGGAAAGTGTCTGGAAACTTCAACGGGTCCAAAATGCAGCAGCCAGATTGCTAACTGGGGCTGGTCACAGGGATCAGACACAACTGGTTACAGCAGTTGCCTGCCAATCTGTTTTGGGGCACAACACTCTTTCTAACATATATAATCCCCCCCTCTCTTTCTTTCTTTCTTTCTTGTTTCTAACATATATAATCCCCCCACTCTCTATTTCTTTCTTTCTTTCTTTCTTTCTTTCTTTCTTTCTTTCTGCTTTCCCCGCCACTGGTGGCTCCATGGTCCCTTTCCATGTCATTTTTCAGAAAGGCACTGGCCATTTGGAAAGCCCCCTCTGCTTTGTGGGGATGGAAAGGAGGGGTGGTGAGTCAGGGCGGAAGGAGTGGCCGGATCAGGCAGGAGGACTTCCCGCAAGGCTCAGCCAGTGATCAATAATGAGCATATCAGCTCTCAGTGATGGTGGTGGTGATAAGCAGAGGAAGCCGCCTGTTTGAGCAAGGTGGAGAGCTGGCATGGGGTTTGCCTGCCAAATCCTGGGGGTGGAATTCTACATTTCCCATGTAACAGATGACAGCCTAAATCTTACCCAAATGTGGCGCAGCAGACAAAAACCAAGGGTGTGGCCAATGGGGAGGGGCCAGGGGGGCAACCTCTGCAGACAGGATGCGGTCTGTGTGGATGTGCATGAGCTAGGCAAAAATATATGGCTATATGGTTTGTGTGCAAGCCAGCGTGTGAGGCAGGGGATAAGTGTTTTAAATAAACAGAGAGGAAGAGAGAGGTGTACATGATCAAGTCTGGCAAATATTTGCGCCCCTCCCCAGAGGGATTTGGGGCCAAGAGCCAGCATTTCCAAGCTGTTTCCGGGCAAAGGGCCCTGAACTACAAGGATCTGACCTTCATCTTCAAGGATGTCAGGGTACTAAGAGTGGGGGAGCAGGTTCAATTGGGGGATGAAAAAGCAAGCGGGGGTCAAAGGGAGCCCTGGAGGCATCCAGGGACCTGCCTCCCCCCTGCCCCTCCCTCCCAGAACATAGTGGTGGTGGTGGTGGTTGCTCTGGCTGTTGCTGTGATGTGCTGCCAGGTCATCCTTCTGACCTTAGCAGGGTTTTGGAAGCTTGCGAGATGCCCATGGAGTGGTTCCAGCTGCACTCCTTCCGAGAAGAGCAGCGTTTTGCTCTTGTGGTGCAGATCCGGCTCCCTTCCTGTGTCACGGCTTTCTCCTCTGCAGGCGACTCTTCATTCAAAAAATTGTTGTAGGGGAAACTGAGTTCTCCAAGAGGAGCTCAAGACTCTGAACCCTCTTGGTGGGCGAAGAGACACTTCTCATCCTCTCTCCTCATCCAAGGAAATAAATGCCAGCCCTTGGGAGAGTTACACTTCAAAGCAAACAAGCAATCTTCCCCCAAGCCAGTACGCATCAGAGTTGTCAAGGAAGGAAGGAAGAACAGACGGGTGGGAGGACAGAAGGATGGATAGATATTTCCCTGGGCTGTGGGAAATGCCTGCACATGCCTTCCTTCCAAGGTGTTCTGTGAGGACTTTTGCACTGACCGAGCGGGGTCAGGGCTTCAGCCGTGGTATCGGGGACAGGGGTGTTATTCCCCCCAGCCTGGCCATGGTTTTGCCTATGAGAGATCAGGAGAAAGATGATGGGACCCCCAGAGGCTGTCTTCTGTAGCACAGCAAAGGAGAGGGCATGGCAGGACCATGGGGTGCTGTTCCCCGTTCCCACAGACCAGCCCTCTCTCCTTATTTATGGGCCGAAGATGGATTTCAGAAGGACACGACAGAATGGAGAAGATAATGGGTTTAAGACAGAAAGGAGAAAGCGCTGATCCCACCGTGTCCGGGATCTGCTAGCTGAGTAAGGGGGACATCTCAGGAACTAACAGCCTGGAGGCCCCTTTGCCAGCTTAGGGACAGGATCGTTACCTACAGGAGGCCTCTTGCTCAGAGAGGGATGTCGGCTTGCCAGGAGGCAGAGGGCAGGTGCCCCACACAGAAAGACCTGGGCTCCTCGAGCTGGGAAAGGAACCTCGCTTGGAGGCCAGGAGAGCTCAGTCCGGGCAGGGGAAATCGGAAGGCGGCATCTTTGTGGTTCTGGATAACCACGCCCAGAGCAGATCTCCAGAAACACAAAGCGCCACACCTCTATCTCGCACAGATCGTTCCAGGCTATCTACAGGGACCAGGGGAGGGTCTGGCCTGGCCCACGGCAGCTTTCTGAGCTCACAGTGCTGGCCAAACGTGGTCACGCCACAGCAGCTGGCCACGTCTCTTTCCCATGGAGGTCCTTTCTTGCCTCTTACAACCAAAATCAACTCTGGAAGGCTGCCAGTGGAAGCCGAGGGAGAGGTGGAGGCAGCAAGAAAGAGCTGCATCGACATTTCTCTTGCTGCTGTCTCTTCTGTTAAAATGGCCCTGCTGCTTTTCTCTGCATCAGAGCCAAGAAAAAGAAAGAGGGTGGGGTGGAGGGGACAAAAGGAAGGCAAGCCCCTGGAGGAAGGGAGTCTGTTAGTGAAGCCATGGACAGCCAGATGAGGGAAACCCTCTCCTCCTTTTTCTTCTCCTGCTCCTGACCACCCTTGCCTCCCAGACCACCTGAGGAAAAGAGGCTCACAGCTGCACTGCCCCTCTTGTCCAAAGCCCCTCGTGTCGGTTTTGAAGCAAAAGAAAACACATTGCAAAAAAGGAGAGAGAGAGAGAGAGGTCTAGCAGTAAAGAAACCAAGGAGGGAGTAGAAAAGGTTGAATGCCTTAACTGAAAATCTAGCCCGTGGCTTATGATGGTTCACTGGGTTAGAAACCCAAATTTTCTCAGGTGGGTATTACCTAATACTGTTTGGTGTTTATCAGGCAGAGTGAAAATGACTCTAACCCTGTTGTATTAGTGTAATGATACAGAACCCTCTCTGGGAATTGTGTTCATTCTTCTCCTCCTTTAACCCAGAGTAACAACAAACTTTGGTTTTGTTGGCCAAATGGGCAGGACCGTCTTGAAGTCTGTCTGGTGAAAGCCGTGAGCGTGGATGGCCAGATGTGCCTTAATGAGGCCATGTTGCCTGAGGACGATTCCTCCTTGCTGGGCTTAGATTCCAGGGATGCATGTAACTTTGAGCGAGCTTATCTTGCCAAGGGCAGCTTTACAATGTTCACCTCAATTAATTAAAAAATCTGGAAGGCAAAGGTGGAGCTGGAGAGAACTTCAAGAAGAAGAATGTACAACTGGCCATTATTACAAGTACAGTATTTGGTATTCAGACGCTAAAATCCTGTTACGTTATGACTCGTGCGGAAGGCCAACAGTGTAACGTTCAGCGACTTCTAGCTGGCAATTAATGAGTCACTGCTGGGATTCTCGGAGGCTCATGGGCCTGCTGGCTTGGCACACATTGAAGGATCCTGGATGTTTTAAAGAGCCAACTTAAGACCTGGCTCTTTAGGTAGGCCTTCCCTCCTCTCACTACTTGATCTTTACATTTATATCTTTATCTTTTCCATCTTGAACAATATAATTATTATTGTTTTACATTGCTGGTTTTTAATTGCTTTTTTGCTATTTTTATTGTAAGCCACCCAGCGTAGACGTGGTCTAAATGGGCGGGGTATAAATGTAATTAATTAATTAATTAATTAATTAATTAATAATTATTATTGTTTTACATTGCTGGTTTTTAATTGCTATTTTTGCTATTTTTATTGTAAGCCCCCCAGAGTAGACGTGGGCTACATGGGCGGGGTATAAATTCAATTAATTAATTTATTAATTAATCCCAGCAGAGACTCATTAACTGTCAGCTAGAAGCAGCTGAACGTTACATCATTTGCCTTTCGTGTGAAAAACAATACAACAGGAATTCAGCCATACTGAGCTTATAATTACTAAACAGAATTGACAGGTCTGGGGATTGGAAATGTATCGGCCACAATCCTCTTGCACACATTTACACCATGCAAGAAAGGGAGCCCAGTGCCTCCAGGGGCTGTCTGTCCCAAGCTCTCAGCACCCAAAGGTATAATCAAAATCTCCTTTCCTGCCTTTTGAATCCACTGGTTCACATGCAACTCTTCGGAGCTGCAAAAAGCACCCTTCCAACATAAAACAACTTGCTTATTTTGTAGTTTATTTAGAAATGGGGGGGAGAGAAAAAAGAAACAATTCAAAAGGATAAAAAGGCGAAAGTTCAAACAGCTAGAAGAAATGGGTTTTCAAAAAGTGAAAGCAAATATGGACACAGACTTACAGTATTCAGACAGGAAACAACAACCAGGAAAGAATAAAAGCTAATGTGCCCTAGCTATACTCCCACCTGAGTGGAGAAACAGCATCTTTCTGGGAATGCACAGCGTGCAGAATCCCAGCATGGCATATTAAGAGGGCAAACAGACTATGTGAGAATCAGACTGAGTCCACTTCAAGCAGCAGGGGAGCCAAGCAAGGTTCTCCTACGAGGCAGGCCAACATTCCCACTTCATTCTCATGGTTCCTCAGGACAAAAGGCAGCTTTCTTGAGATGATGCCCCTCCCCCTTCTCAGACCCACATAATTCCCTGGAAGGAATTCATCTGAGCCCTTTCAAGTCAGGGATAGAGATGCAGGTGGTCCCTTTTGGAGACGCTCTGATATATCCTCCTATAAAGATAAGCAAGGAGGGAAGCATCTGCTCCCCAACTCAGTCTTTCCTTCAAAGTGTTCTATAGCAGGAGATCAGGTGGAGGTGCAAAATCTCCATTTCCACCCTGACCCTTTGGCTGTGAGGTTGATTTCTCCAGTTCACAGAAGAATAGAAGAGTTCTGAAACTCAAATTCATATTTCATACACCCGAAGTTCGTTATCTTTTCACAATATGCCTGCCAGGGCTTTCTGAAACTTGACAGTAATTGCATTCATTTATTTTTTATCTCCATTTGTACATCTAGGCAGATCGTTCTTTCTTTACTTGTATCAGAGTGATGCACAATTTAAAATTATGAATGTATATGAAATAAAGGTAAAAACAAAATGTAAAGATAATTCAACTATTTTTGACCAGAAGTGAGCTACTTCAATAGCATTATCTCAACCATTTGCTAGATAGTCTTCTGAACACATAGTGGAGCATAAATTGCATGGACATATATGCTGCATGGATTGAATTTCTCCACAGTCACAGAATATTTGTCCTCTCTCCAAGTAGCCCCATTTTACTGGATCATTCTTTGATCTTCCTACTTCACTTCGAAGTCTATTGAGTGACTTCCAGATGGTCCAGCCAGAGTCTTGTCCTGGTGGGAGACACTCTTTGGCATTCCTCCATTCGGCAAGGTGTGTAGCTTTTGTTCTCCACAGGTTTAGCCTAGTCTCTTCTCACCTTGTATTGAGGGCTTGAGAGGTGTGCTGGAAACATCTCCTCAATTTTAGCTGTTGTTTAGGAGGTTGGTGTCCATGTACTGGATGGGTTTGGTGTTCTATTACCTTCTTTCATTCATGAGTTGCTAGCACCTCTTAACATATTTCTCAAGGGGCAATGCTAGTCCATTTCAATGGGAGTAGGTTCCAGGCAGACAGTAACAATCCTGCATGATTCATTACGAGTCACATCCACTTGTTTGGTATGTGTTGATTTGTACCATGTGGCACTAGCCTATTCTGCTGTGGAGTACAGAAGGACAAAGCTGTCGTTTATATTGTTTGTGGGTGTGCACCCTAGTTTGATCCAGCATTTCCTAAATATGTTATTTTCTGGCAGCAACTTTCTGTTTGGTGTTAAGACAACTTTTTTTGTGGGTTGGGTTTGATCCAGATTGACACCCAAAAACTATGGGGTAGGGCAGTGTTCCAAAATCTTGCCTTCCCAGCTCAGAGCTTCCTCTCTGTTCTTTAAGCCACAGGCTTGTGTTTTTAAAGGATTTGGTTTCAGCTGGTTGATTTTTGTAATATAAGGAAAGCTCTTCTAACACAGAGGTTAGCTGTTCGGTGGCCTCAGAGGTTTCCCCCTCGGCTGTCAAGGCAAGATCATCAGCACAGATGAAACTCCTGGAGGATGGGAACACCACAGGTTGATCATTTGTATAAATGTTAAACAGTTATGGAGCCAGGACACTAACCTGTGGTAGGCCGTTCCTTTGATTTCTCCAGCGTATGCGCCTCCCTCGGAATTCAACAAAGAAGCGTCGGTTTTGAAACAGAACAGTGACCATTTCTGTTCGTCCATGATTTTTAGTAAGGGGGTAGAGCTTTTTGAGCTGCTGTGAGGTCAACAAAGGCTGCTCCAGTTATTTTATGCATTTCAAAACCATTTTCCATTTGCTGGGTTGAATTCAAGATTGGAGCCCTATAACTCTTCCCAGGTCAAAAGTCTGATTGTTCTGGAATTTTCTTAGACTCTGTAAACTGCAGAGCTGGAAAGAAGCTTATAGATCAAATTGGAGTCCAGCCCCTGTCATGGAGACCCAGAGGGGAAATTGAACTCCCAACCTCTGGCTCCACAGCTGGATACCTAAACCACTGAGCTCTCCCTCTCTCTCTCTTTTACAGGGTTGGGGACGGCGACTAGACAGTTTAATATCATTTGTTCAAACTAAGTGGCCTCGTAGGGAGTATCTTTGGTGGTTTGATGGTTCTTTGCTTGGTTTCAGGAAAGCTGTTCCTTTCATCTTCTGCCATGTTTCTGGAATTTGCTTGCTCATCTAGCTGTTATGAAAGAGTTGGAGGAGCCACTCCTTTGCGTTCTGCCCAAAACGTTTAATTTATTCAGATTTATTGAGCCCCGTCTAGGCAGGCTGATCCTGGTGACCCACATTCTCCAGGAACAAGTTCTCGGGGGAAATTTTAATGAACAGGCAAGCATTGAAGTGGAGCAAATGTTACGGTAGGCCTTTGTGTAAGTGAGCAAATAAGGAAAATGACTAGATGGATGAAATATTTTTTGCTCTAAAACGGGGATGGCATCCCTTGAAGAGGGAAACGTGCAGCATGCTCGGCAAATAACGACATGATGCTAAGTCAGTTCCAACTTAGGTGATCTTTCTCAGAGTTTCCTCCCGGATACAGAATACTCATTATAAGTGGTTCGCCTTTCCCCTGGGGCTGTGCAGCTTGCCCAAGGCTACCCGGGCTGGCTCTTCGGGGGGAATCCAATTCCTGACCCAGGTGCTCCATATCACTGAGCTATCCAACCAGCTCAGCAAAGACTAGAAGCTGCCTAAAAGGCAGAGTTGCCGTTTTGGGGAGGGGGGCAGGGGTTGGAGCTAAGCTTTCAGGCATTGGTACAGGGGAAAACATCAACAAGGGGACTCAGATGAGAAGTTCAACGATCAAAAGGGAAGCAAAGGGGACTTTAATCAGTTTGTTACAGGGTTAAAAACCCATGGATGGACCCCTGAAAATACAAACCACAGAAAGGAGGTGGGCCGCGTAGGAAGTTAGTTGCAAGGAGCAGTAAAAGTCAGGGCTGAAAATAAGTCGGGGCCAGGAAGGTCATGGTTTCCTGGGATCCTGCTAAGAGATCCTTCCTTAAGAGGAGAATTGCAACTCCGGGAGCTGCTGGGAAGAGGGAGGTGGGAGAGCTTAGCAAGATCTCAAGAGTAGGAGGACAGGCGGGCAAAGGTCCCCGTCAGAGCCAGAAGGAGGAGGCCTCGGGAAGGACAGCGAACAGGCTGGTGAGATTGCCTGGCGAAAATCCCAGGTTCTGCCGCTCAAAATAGCGATTTCGGCTTAAAATAGGCTACGGGAGGCTTCACGTTGAGCTGAGTGGCTTCGGCAGAGCAGCAGGAAAGGGGCGACACTTCTTGAGGCCGGCACCGCCAGCAGGACTGACCACTTTGGGAGACGCTCACGGGAAGGCAGTGAAGCCTTCAGCGGGGCCTCGGGCGGGGCCCGCTCCTCCAGCCCTGCCTTTGGCCCAAAGCAGAAGAGGAGGATGCCCAAAAGGCCGTGGAGGAGGGGGCTCAGAGCAGAAGTGGGGGGGAGGGCTTTCCTACACTGACCACGGTCTCCGTTGGGACTTAGCAGAGGGCCACGTACCCAAGGCAGTTCACGTGGGTCTCCCCCTCCCTCCCATCACCCCACCACTACCCTGTCAGGTCAGCCACCAGGCTGAAGAGAAGCCAGAGGCCCGCCACGTCTTGGACCGAGTGGGTTTCGTGGCCTAACAGAGACAGGAGCCCACGTTTCCCGAGTTCTCGCCCTGCCCTCTCCTCAGGACCCTGCTGTGGCTCTTGGACCACAAAGGCCCCAAAGCTGCCATGAACCACACGGGTCACCCATGTGCACGCACACACACACGTGCGCACACAGAGGAGCACGGCCACCCACAGAAAAGTCTTCTGGGCCGGAAGCTTTTCCACAGGCAGGTGGGCAGGAGACCCTCTCTCTCTCTGGGAGGGGAACAACCCTCTCCTTCCAGAAAGTTTGTGATGCCCTAAAACCGGTTCAGCCTCCACCCTGGTGGTGGGACAGGGTTCCTTCTGGCTGGGCACTATCCACCATCCTCCTCCACTTTTTCTCATTCCAGCTCCTGCCCTCCACTCTCATTCTCTGTGTGTGTATGTGTGTGTGCCTGGGCGCGCGCGTGTGCGTGCGAGAGAAAGTGGGGAGGGGGGGCGCGAGGCTCTGCCGCCTTCACCGGGGAACGCTGTGGGATGTGAGGAAGGGCATCCGCCCCGGGGCTCGCCAGACGGAGGAGAGTTCAGGCGGCACCGGGTGTTTTCCGCGCCGGCCCGAGAGGGGACGGGGCGGCGGAGGCGGGATGGGGTGGAGGTCCTTGTGAGCGCCGGCGGCCCAGCGGGCTCCCTCTCTCCCTCTCTCTCCTGTCTCCGCAGGGCACCGAGGCGAGGCGGCGCGGCAGCCATGGGGGTGCTGATGTCCAA